TACAATACTTATGATCTTTGAAGATTATAAGTATAGCAATATGTAACTTTGTCTTTTGAAAATTTGTAAAGGTCTTTAAAGACAAGCAATTATCGTGCTTAAATTAGAACCATTCAATTCGTGTGTTCAAAACTGAGTATTCTCCAAATCTGAAGTCAAGTCCCTAATCATTTGGATTCAAGAACAAGCATTCCTTCTACAAAAGAATTTGGACATTGGTTTTTGGAGTTCGAAGAGTCTTTAATCTTTCTCCTAAAAAATGAAGACTCGAACATTGTATTGATTAAAAATTGACCCTGCTTCGTTTCCTGTCATATTAAATAACCACATATATTCTTCTAATTTTCCGATTAATTCTTAAAATTCACGAAAGTGTATTTAATTACGTATGCATCAGATTTTGAAAAAGAAATTTTTACAAACTCATACTGAGTCATCGGTTATGAAACATAATTATGATAGACGAGTGGATTTGTAAATGAAGAATAGATTCAAACTAAAAATATTTTCTCGTTCCAGGTGTATCTACCAAGACCGACAATGTGTCCCGACGAGGTCTACAGAATGATGTGTTCGTGCTGGCGCAGGGACGAGACCTCCAGACCCACGTTCAAAGACATTTACACGTTCCTGAAAAACCTGATCGCTGACTATCGGCCCGGTGCATAATAATCCCACTTAACTGTGATACCAAAAGAGAACAAAAAAAAAGCGGACGGAGAAACCTACTTTCAAACGAGTCGAAGAAATCGACCCCTCGTGTTTGAACTCTTCGGAAGTGTACAATCGTTAGTTTTTAGTGCATGCGTTGGAAAACGGGCCGCGTCGAATTTCGAGCTTCCTCGAATCACGAAAAAATCCTTGAGGGGGAAAGCTTCTCTGGGTGAACTGTCTATCCACTAGCTTTGAACCAGAAACCTTTGAAAGTTCTCCCAGTTCTCGATCACTCAGTCCCGAGTATATTCTTCGTCTAGAAAATGAGAAGTCATCTTAAGATATCGCGCGATGAAAGTTCGCGCGTTACTCGGGACCTAGTGATCTTTCGTCGTCAGCGGACACGCGTCGTCACCGACATTTTCTAGTCAGTTCGGTCCTTCAATTCCTATGAAGCTGGTATTGTGTACAGTATTCTGGACACTGATGATGCTGAGCACTGATAAGTCTATCCACTTGTACATACGAGTTCTAGATATCGGCGCTAGATAACACACGGGGAGTTTCTCGCAGTAGCTGGTACTTTTATAGTGTGCTTTTTATATAACTGTCATTACGTTCGATCGACGCTCGAACCGATTCGACATCGAGTCGGGCGAACCCGCGTTTTTTTCACGGATCAGTTCCATTAAGATACGTTCGACGATTCCATGGAATCGAAGTCTGATTCGACGCGATATCGTCCGATGTCACCGTCGCGAATCAAACGGTCGACCGCCAGCTGCGCGTGGAAATTCCGACTAACTTGTACATTCGAAGCCCGTCAGTAGCGAAGTACTTATATCGTTCCATTGTATTTCCTTTTCGTTCGAAAAGAGGAAAGAGATCTCACTATCTTTAGCGGGCAATAGACTCCGACACCTGATCGACACTACTGAAAATATTTATTGCATCACGGAAAACCGCTGTCGTTATCTGTAATTCATTTGCGACTTATCTAAGGTGTAGATATTAAACTAGCTACATTCAAGTTTTTCTTAGAGTTCATTAGTTTCTCCGACTTCCATAATGTCTCCGACGCTTTCTTCACTTTTCTTTTTGATACGGTAGAACTTCATTTGTATGAACTCGTTGGGCGATAAACTGTTCAAGTAACTAGGCTGTTCATATTATAAGAGTCCACTGATTTGTTCCATTCTTCGGATCATAGTGTCTTTACGTTTTATGAATTTGTAAATTACTTATGTAGTAATTTAGTAAACCCAAGCGACTTAGTTTAAGTAACAAAGAACAACAAAACTAAATATTTTGTATTACTTATGATATAATGTAATATAACTATAAAGTGCATGTATAATTAGATTAACGCTGGCCACTAGTTCATACTAGAAGTCCAGTTAAAATTCACTAATAATTAAAAACAACTTTTCATTTAACTAAATGAAGTTCTACTGTATTTTTAACAATCACGACGCAGTTGAATGTTTGAATCCCAGGTGCAAATGCAATTCCAATTGAAATGCCTTCTGTAGTCAACAAAACGGTAATGCTGAATACCTATTCGAAGAATGCAACAATATCGGAATATTAATATTGAGTGTGGTGCGAGTGTTATGTGAGAATAAATTTGCGAATGATGCTATAAATATTTCCAGTGGCGTAAGTCTGTTCTTCGCGCGAACGCGACGCATACCCACGCTCCTTCTTTGATCTACGATTAAGGGTAGAGATCCATGGGGGACGCACAGTGGTCCAGAATGTCGGATTGGAAGGAAAAGATTCGAAATTATGTTTTATCGATCACAACGCTACTTTGTCTGCATTTGTATGTTTTAAGCCCAACGTAATCAAAATCAAATCGATAGTATTAATCATTTTTTAAACATAGTGAAATTTGAATTTAAAAAATTGGTAACTTACTAACATACGTAACTTTTGTAATCCACTTCATTATTGATTCACGTAAGACCAGAGATCACTATGCATTTAATTAAGTAACGTATATTATAGACAGAACAGTCACAAATATAAAAATTATAAAAATTTTGATCTTTTTTCCTATGAATCGCACGATCTGGATCACTGTGGGACGTAACGACGTAACTGTCATGCTTCGAGAGGAATCGATGCGAGTCTTAAGCTACGCCGTACTCGAATTCCAAAGACCGCGAACGAACGTTTGAACGCGACTATAACGGGGAGACAAAAAAAAAGAGAAGAAAACAACTTTCGTGAACGGATGTGATCGAGATCGAAACTTGCCACGCCTTGTGATCAAAAAACGTGGACGGTGTCGGTTATGGAAGGGGGGAAAGAAAAAAAGGGAAAACGTGTTTATTGTTCGTTCTTGGTTAAGTGCCAAAGAGAGTCAAGCGTTCAAACGTTCCCCTCTGCACGCACCTTTCTGTAATTCTTAAGATGAATTCAAGTATACGTTCGAATGATTAACAATAAAGTACTGAGTATTCCTTTCTGATACCGGCTGTGTTATTCTTTTTAACTTTTGATTGAATTCCAGTGAATTTGTTTTATGATGTTTATCTTTGAGCACGTATGAAAGTAAATATGTCGCGCGTAGGTGAATGGTTATCGAATAAAAGTTTTAAAGAAAATTTTGTGCCAGTTTATTACGCGATATAAAATTATTATAATAAAATGGAAGAGAGAGAAAGGAGCAGAAGAAATTACAAAAGGGTAAAAGAGGTAAATGCATTTCTCTGAGAATCTGGTAGAGATTGATAAATGGTTTTAATACAACATAATCGTTCTGAAAAAGATGAGTAGGAAGAAGAGGGATAGAAAAGGTTAAAACACTAATAAATGAAAAATATTAAGAAATGTCAAGGAATATTAAGAAATATTTTAAAAAATTTTTTAATTTAAAGAAAAAGAGAAATAAAAAATGAATTGTTATTAATTTAGTAGAATAATGTATTTGTTTTTTGAGTATTCAATAATAAGTTTTTATATTCGTTACAACTTGAACTTTTACTATTAGTGTAAAAATATTTTACACACGAGGAGTAAGTTTCAGAATTTCAAGAGTATAAAATATTTAATTTTGAAAGAAGTCCTCGAGTATTTAAACCTTTACAACAAATCCATTGACATACAATAATAGAGACGATCAGATTATAAAAATATTATTTGAGCAATATATAAAATTAAATTCAATTGTTTAATTAAATTCAAATGTGATATTAATAAATATGGGATTCTTTAAATGTATCAAGCTAAATACCCATATTTTATTTAACTGTAAATTTTATGATTTTGATCGTACACTTTTTCAGATTGTCTATTACAAATTTCGAAATAAAATATAGAGCTAATAGTAGCGTCGGTATATATTTAAGAATTTTTAACGTGTTCATATCTTCGTTTGGTCATTGTGTCCTACAAACGGAACTGGTTGAACGAAAATTACAAATAATTTGTGCAAGGTGCATGAACGCATAATCTCCTAAACGGCCGTAAATTACAGTGATAATATTGAAAGAATGGTTTATCTATTATCAGCTGAGCCACATGTAATGGTAGGATATGTTATTAGAGGCTTTAAGGAAGTTGTACTTTGATATGCGTTTCACATATCTACGATTTGAAATGGTAACATGTAAGAGTCATTTGTCTTATTATTGTCTCACATAATCAAAACCGATCCCTAAAAAAAAATAACAATAAATTTGTATTATTCTAAATATTTCTAAAATTACAAAATATACAAAAAATACTATCAGTTGTACCGATCATGAAATTTAAATCTTCTAGATTTATTAAAATTTATTATAATTGATTCAAATTTAATTTATTAATTATTTACACAATTCTTGTGGTAACTATTACTTACATTTTTTTATATTCACTGATTTATTAATTTTATTACTTTCACAATGTTTACTATAAAAAGGATTGGAATATTCGAGAAACTCGACGACATAATAATTGTGTACGATAACAGATTGATTCTTATCTCAAGTATCTTGATTTCTGCTGAGAGCGATCATCAAGTCAATAGAAATAATCGTGACAGATATCAACTAACTCTTTTTACAAATAACAAGTGATCACTATTAATATGCACTGATTTTATTACTACATATTACAAGTTTTTAAAAATAAAATTAGTAATCACAATTGTATGATAAAATATAAAATAGGTATGAAACGTAAAGAAAATCTTCTTCGATGTTTGAAATTCTACTACTCACTGTCTGGTAAACATGCGACTTCCTCTAAACCGTCCGGGGAAGCACTCTTTCACAAAGATTACTAACATTCGAGTTAATATACTTTGCTTAGTAAACATTAGCGAAAAAAACGTTTCTGGAAAATTCCCCGCGAATTGTGCATGAAAAATATCATAAAACGGCGAGGTCAATAGAGATAAAGATACATGTTATTAAATCTTTTCTCAAGAACGATATATCTGTTTATCTTAGGAAAACATATTTCTCCAATGAGAAAAGGATAAGACAATCACGCGTGTATAATTTAGTGTAAAGAAAATGAAAAACAATCATCTTTTTATACTTAATGTACGGTGTTCAAAATAACATTCATTATTATACGTATGTCCAGATTGATATTGCGCATACTTTACATTTCTATTGCGAAAAGTTTAATATTTAATTTACTGCAAGAACGTTTGGAAAATCTCACGAATTTGATAAATTCAACATTTGACCGCTTAATTTAACATATTTAAATATTTTACTTTGTTTCTAGGCACTAATTTTCTTGAATTAAAATTTTTTCTTCAACATGAAATATTCAAATAAAAATAAATATTAACAAATTTGATTCTGATAAATTACTATGCAATATTAAATATTTTAAAATAGACGCAAATAAATTCATAATAAGTGCAATACTATTTACTCTTTTAAAAATAATAATTTTTTATAGCTAAAATAAAAACATATTATAGTATTTTAAAATTTGTATTCTGAATACTTAAACAAGCTGCAAACGAAAGCGTAATGCTAAGAAATATAATTAGGTGTGCCGTACATTTTCGTGCAACAAAGACATCAAGGCACCCAAGTATTCCAGGCAAGGTTGCGCGATTAAGTTTCGCACAGTACATGGTGACACAATAAAACAAACTTTTATCCAGCGTTGCCATAAAGATGGGAAGTTCATCTTCACGAAGATTTAAGATTTAATACAAATGTCTAGGAATCTAGGTATGGCTATACAACTATACAACTTGCTTCGATCGTTAAGGTATCAGAACCATCGATCATCTGTCCCCTTCTACTGTACACAATGTAAATATACAATAACTACCGTTTTTGACCAAGTTACCAAAAATCTCAAGAAAACATTTCTACAGGCACGAAAAATGCTACTGAGGGCACCATTAGTGACCAGATCGAATGCTCGAATGACCAAAGTCACTTAAACGCATATCTGAATGTCCAGTGATACGGTAGTGTCCGTTCGGCGGCTGCAAAGTAGTCTCTTTAAAGCAAAGTTTCGTGCTTCTTTGGTTCTTACATTCTCGTTATCTTAAAAGGTTCGCCAGAACAATCGTTCCCCAGCCGAGCATGACCAACTCTTCTCGAGGTAGTTCCATTAAACCATCCGCCGCTCATAAATCACCGGTAAACCTTTTATCGGCACAATTCGGATAACATTGCTTCGCGTCCAGACGAAACTCATTAATCTTTCCATAGGGAAGTGCATGAATCCGGTTCGATCATAGAGACATGGTCGGAAAATTGATGGCTATTTCGCAGGGACGAAGTGTGAATAAAGAAGATTCCAACCTCAGCTCCTGATCTAGAGTCAGCTTGATAATTTTGATCGTTCCAGCAGGAATTTTAAGTGTCACTCTACGAAGAGAAAATCAATTTTGTATGAAAATCACGTTGCTACTAAGGATGTCTATTGATTTCAACTTGTTACAAGTTTATTTTTGAAAAGCAAAGGATGAACAGAAGTTCGTTGTTCTTTTATTAATAAAAGTTACTAAAATTTGTTTTCTTTTATTTCTTGAATACTTGTACGAAGTTGCTATAATCGAATGAAATCCACAGCATTTAATAGCAAAAATGGCATGAACTGAAATAACGTTCTATCAAATTTAACTTATTTTTTTTAAAATTGCGTTTTATTAAAAATGTGAATTAATATAACTTAAAAACGTGCAAACTGAAAATTTGTGTAAATATAATTTATTAAATTTTGTTTAAATAACTTTTCAGTTGGAAGCTATTTTCTTGTGAATATGAGTATGTTTATTAATCGTACTAGATGAAAAAAGAGACACTACCTGTACAGATTATTCAAATCCAATAATAAAACAAAGAAATTTTTAAGACAAAGTCCGAAGAAAGTAAATAACATACAAAATTCTGTTTCTATAATTTTATTTAAAAAAATTACAATTCTGCACTTTAAATATTTCACCTAAACAACACCCAACGAGAATACAATTAAAAAAGAACATTTTCCTATGTATATAATATCAATTACAATCCGTAAAGAATAGTAAAGAATAATTTGAGTAATAATATTACGTTAAAAACAGATTTTCATTCTGAAATCCTTAATATTTCTATAACAATATTTTATCAAAACAATTAATAAATTGATGAATTATTGAGTATTGTCACATCACAAGACACTTTTCCGTCCAAATCTTCAAATTGTAATTTCTTAAACGACGATACAGTATAAAATCAGAAAAACAATATCTCAATAATAGGTTCTTGGTCACAAAAATGGCGGCTCCGTCATAATCAGTATCTTCAGAATCCCCGTTAATCTTTTCCTGTCGAAAATCATTATTGAATCAGAAACATTCCAAAAAACGTCCATTGATATTACACACACGTCACCGGTTAAACATTAATCCGTTCGTCAACACGTTCGACAAGCGATGCATGTCGCTGCTGTTTACCCGAAGGGGAAGCACGGAGACGCGTCAGAACTCCGGAAACCACTGGAGGGATCGATCGGATCGCTCGAAGATAGAAGGAACAACGTCGGTTCGCACATTGGTCCCAGAGATAATGAAATGCACAACGAAGCAACGAGGCGCGTGTATAGGTGGCCACACGTCGCGTGTGTGCGTGTCGCGTAACACTGGACGCTTACGTTTATATAATGCCAGGCCCGGGAAAGTAAGACCATTGAATCGTCGACTGTCAAAGACACGCGTTACAACGAACTTCACTGGGAAGCATGAAGCTCTGCTTGCCTGTTATCTTCGTCGCCCTCGTGGCCACCCTTCTACACTCGACAGGTGAGAAATGCACTATTTTTTCTTTTTTTAGAAATCTCGTACGAGATTTAGTACAATATATATACATATAATATAAAATTTAAGAAAGGATTGTAAATATGAGAATTGAATTATTTTGTTACATTATATACAGATAATTATACAAAGTGGTCTTTTTCTTTTCATATATTTAAATCATAAATTTTTATGAATATAAGATTGGCACACTTTGATATTAGGTTTAGTTATTAAGATTGCTACGTCTAATGGTAAGTGAAAATTCTCTTTAGCAAGGGAGAAGTATATTTCTTACGATTTGTGTTGCAAAACGTTATCGAGGCAAAGGTATTTTATCGCTCTTATTTTCACCGTATTTTCACTACATTAGTATTCCTCACTTTCTCCGTGTTTTTCGTTCCCGTTTGCTCTTCCTTTCGATGGTATTTGTCACGATCCGACTATCGCTTTAATGAAGTTGTGATACATGAAATACCTTGCATCAAATAAGAACTGACGAATTTCTCATTTTAACAGGGATTGATGGTTCATTCGTTTTATTTTAAATTTAATATTAAATTTGTACATACACTATTTCCTTATCTTTCTGAATTACTGAGGAGCTGTATATGTGTAAGTATTTGAAAATATAAAAGTCCTTCAAGTTTACGAAATATGAACACTCGCAAGGCTACCAGACTAATCAGATATTATCTAAACTAGCTTTCTTTCTAAATATCAAGGATTAATCAATGAATAAGATAATTAGGAGAATTCTATCTTATACGAAGTAATATCAATTGACTCATAAAGTATTCTCCATATATTGTTTCATTTCGCTTTAATAACAAGCATTTTAAACAATAAAGAAATATACAAATTATCATTAAGAAACATTTGGTATCTGCCAATACGATTTCAAGAAAAATCATTTATAAAGTTCTATAATTTTCCTTTAGACTCCTTTGGATTCCTTTCCTTGTAATTTTATATTGTTTATCAAAGAATTATAATTAAAAATCACTAAGCCCGTTTTATCGGAAACTTCACCCTTAATCTAATTCTGTTTGCTTCCCCGTGATCTTTGTTGTTCGATATATAGCTTCGATTACGGATTTCACGGAGCTACATGCAAAACCGAAAATAACTAAGGGTTCCTCTTTGATCGCTCGAACATTTCTCTCTCCTCTTTCTTTACCGCAGCACAAGAGCATCATAGTAAATTAAAATATGCGCCTCAACGAATCCGCCTCAACCCTTCCCTTTTCTATCGAACCGCCCCGGTGGTACCGTGTTCCTTCGATACTTTTACGATCGCTGAAAATTCAATCATGCATCGAAGACATCTTTCTGACTCAAGCTTGTAAATTTCTGGATATTAAAAATGATGTAAAATACAATAACACACGGGTGATATTCGTGCGAAAAGAGACCAATTTAAACTATCGATTTTGAATATACTTAAACAAGACACAGAATTTCAGATGCTTTAATGCTACAACAGCTGTATCCAATAAAATGACAGATTTCAATTTTCTTATTTCGCAATTACTGATATCTTAAAAGCGTTAGATATCTCAAACGATTTGAAAAATAAATAATATCACTTCAATACTATAATTAATATATAAAGAAATAAAAATAATCTGTTGATACAATTTTGATAAGAATTACATATTAATAATGTTAAATGTTTAGTTGTTCCAGTGTTAAAGTAGTTAATCCTATTTACTTCTTTATGTTTCCTACTCTCATTTTAAGTTTCTTTTTATAATATACATTTTATTCCTTTTTATTCCCTTTTAAGGTTCAACGTTGAAAATATATAGAATTCTGTTAAAAACTAAACATGTCTAGAAAATCTTTTAAATATTCATAAAGGATATCAACATTGACATATTACACACATGAAATTTTTATTTTCAGAATACGCAGCTGCAAAAGACATTTGCCCTCTGGAGGACTGTCTCAATTCTGACAAATGCGAGTACACGCTGGTCGGTGGAATATGTCCGCAATCAACTGACACGTGTTGCAGCGTAGGTAAGTCCAGTTAGGAATTCGGTGAGGCCTACGAACAAACACTCTTCCTGAATATCATATATATTATTCTTAAAAATCAAACATTTCATTTTCGAGCGATAAAGAGCAATTTTTACGAATTCATTAATTGAATTGAGATCATTTGCGAATTCCAATCCGAATGAAATATTTTATTTGTATTTATTTTTTATCGTTCGTGATTATCAATTATGAATACGAAAGTACGCGTTCACTGCTTTTTCTTGTCTTCAACGCGTGTTCTTTATTGATTGTTCACTTTCATTGATATTGCACGATTTCGTTGATTCATGTCACGAACCGAAGTACACAGGAGTGATGGTAATTATGAGGCTATAACGATAACGTAACCGCGCGTTACCACTGGATATAGCAATTTCACGCTCGCCGGTACGGCACACACGCAACATCGTAATTTCTACTGTGCCAAATCAGCGGTACACGAGATTTACTTTTGCGCGCCGTGAATTTCGAACGAATGGCTGACGAGTCAATTCATGCGTCACTGTCCACACTTTCACGGCCCATGTAGTGTTGCCGTTACGTACCGTCGATTTTTCAAAATACTCTTTTTTTTATAGATCCTTCAACGTCTTTAATTTAAATATTCAAAAATATTGGAGTACACAGATATATTTGTTCTCAATTTTTATTAATTCATACAATAGATTTGTAGATATTGTTTTATATCTAATGTGTCATAGTTTTAACCTGTTAACTGGGGAATTTAATTTAAAAAATCTCTTGTATTGCACACAATAAAATAAAAATATGAAGTGTGTACTAATCAAACGCAGGACGAATGCACCTAGGATATATTTTAAAGAATATTCAAAGCAAATCAGAGTAAGGAAGAATTAAATATTTATCTGAAAAAATGAAAAATTCATCGTTGAAAGAATTAGTATCATTTCAAGTTTTAAGATGACGTGTATACTCGTCAAATGCAGTTAACTGGTTAAGAAAATGAACAGTTCAAACTTTTTCATTAAATTTTTGGAAAAATCTAAAATGCAGAACTTTATGGTGATTTATTACAATGAATATATATGTAAATTGGATGGCAACATTTATAAACATTTTCAAGATATCAAACTTAATAAATATGAATACTTTTTCCAAGATCAGAAACTTTCACTTCAAAGCATTGCAGTGTAATAAATATTGACTACGCACGCCATTAATAATGACATGCTTCGATATACAGTATCTACACGGCAATGGGATACTTCAAATTAATTTTCTCTACTTTAATCGAAAATTTACTACAAATTTTAAATAATTCTAAGCGATACTTAGTACAAAGTGTATATCACTATTAAACGATCAATTACAACAAACTTTCCAACATAAAACAAATGTCAAAATCGACTAGACAAAAGTTAGTGTATTACTTACTAAAATTTCAGTGCCTGCAAATATTATATCATTTATTTAAAACTACATTAAATAAACAAGACTTTAATCAAATATAAACGAATCATATAATTCACAATTTGCACAAGATAAATTACTTTTCACTTTACACTGAATCGAAGTCACTATTTTTTAACTCACAGTTCCAAGTATTATTTTACACTTACACTATTACACAACTAACGTTTACTTATTTTTTATAAACCCACCCGTACATTGTCACAGTAACCCAACTACCTCCATCCTTCAACGTCATCCAACTCCATTTTAAACCGCACAATTTCTAATTTGCAGTAAAAGCAGAGTACAGAACGCACTGCCACCAGTTCGGAGGCGAGTGCATGGACTCCTGCACCCAAAGCCTGCAGCAAAGCGTCGTCGATTGTCCAGCCGATCAAGTCTGTTGCACATTAGTTTAAGAGAACCACAATAAAAGCTATCCGCGGCTACGTAGCGTTAACATAAGCGATTAGTCTGCGACATCGGCTCCATCGTGCCCGTTTACGGCGTTGCGTGTAATAACTTGAACCCAGTCACGGTACATCTGTTGGCAGCAAAGTAGAAACACGGCTTAATTGGTTTTACAATTACAACGGTACGTACCTCGGTGAGAGGTTTCCGAGCGGCTAATGCGTGCGGTTAATGAAAAATCGATTTCATCGCTATATAATTGTCGAGAACCACGAGGACCTGTCACAGATGTGAGACTGGTCGACGATAAATAGTGCAAACATATACAAACAGGTTATCCGCGGCGCGCGGTTCCCCGTGGATCCTTGCGAGACACGGCGTCGTTGATTTATTTGGACGTGGAGCGAGAAAGTATGCAAGAGTGCGTAAATGTTACACAGTTACCAGGTTAACAAGTATTTATAATAAAATATGCGCGTTAAAATGTTTGTTATTTATCGCTGAACCTTTCCAGCGTATAGAAGATCTAGCGATTCACCGATCGTTATTCATTCAAAAATGGAAATCCGACGGGAATCGAATATCACATCTCAAGAAACATTATCACGATAGTAAACTCCGTCTGATAATGCAGTCAATAATGTAGCGTTCTCCAGTTGGTACAATCTAATCTGCATTATCGTGTCAGAATGGATTGTAGTTCCGATGCAATGTACGTTTGAATGTAATACTGTATAATATTCGAAATTTTGCATTTTGAAATGATAGTATAACTGTGTTAATTGAAAGATTTTGCTGTACAATGTAGGGGTTGAGTTTTAAAAAGGCGATAGGAACTACCGATTTAAAATGTAATGCAAAATTTAATGTTACAAGGTTTTAGAAATAGAATATTTTCAAATCACCTTGTATTTGAAATTTGTTTTGTTTGAGTTTGCAGTGTAAATAATTGATTTAGTGCCCTACACGGCATAAAACTTGAAAAATTAAAGTTTAATGTACGCTCCGATTATATTCAAACGTTTCTTCCAATTATAAGCCATGTTACATTCATTTTATAACTTCAATAATCTTTCAAGTTTCCAATAACGTCTTCAATTACATACTTTATCGACAAAAGTTTCAGTTTTTATTTAAACTTGTATGCCGTGATTCTTTCTTAATTCAAAGCTCAATCTAAATTTACTATAATCAAGCCAAATAGAAAAGATCAAGCTAGTCATAAAGAAAGAAAGAATAATTGTTAACCATTACACCCTGAATTTTCAGTCGCCATTCGCTTCGAAGCAGCACAATTATAAAATAAAAAATTTAATATTAAATTTTCTATGATGTACCAACGCACAAAACATTGCAATAAAACAGTTCTGTCTTTCAGAAAAACTATCATCGATATTTCATCGAAAAAATCATGAGTATTTATAGCGAAAAGTATTATCGAGTGCAAAGGGTAGAAATGAAGTCTAATCGAGACCCATTCCAGAATCCGCGGGCGCAAAGTATAGCTGAGTTGAAAAATCCAGGAAGGACGCAAGAAAATAAAGAGAAGCAGGAAGATATAAGAAATAGATGGAAGGGGCACGCGTAGCTCGAGGCACTGCAGGCAGGACGCTCGGTGGTGCATGAATGCTCGCACACGTATTCGAGGCCAAACTCGGTGTTGGTTAACCCTGGAGGGTCACTCGCAGAATCGTGGACGGTAGAAAAAGTGGAGAACCCCGCAGGGCTCCTATCGTCGGCTATCTGAACCGGCCGAGATAAGGGACTGGTAGACAGTGACGCATTCATCGATGTGAATTAATGTGATAAACTGTTAGCGTGCAAATGAATAACACGGCGAAAAGAGGGCCGCCCGTGACTTTAGAATGCTGGAATGGATCTCCACCGTCCGCATCAACCGTGACCGAGGAGGAAATAAAGAAGCAACGAAGAGATACCTTGCCCGGGGCAGTACACGCCGAACATGTGACACTAAATATAGAGACACGCTAACGCTAGAGACGCGACACCGGGATCGTCCGAAAACTGACTAAATAAACGATTCTTCTGCCAACACAATCGGAACCAGTAAAAAAGGTAAGACAAACAGCACGACGGACATATCTATACAGGGTGATTCATAAATACATGGCCACGCATGAGGGGGTTAATCTGCATACTAATGTAACACATCGTATGAACGTATTGCTCTCTTTGCTGGAACAATTACAACTCAACATTTTGTACTTTTTTAGAATAGCGAAACACTTGTTTTGAACGTAAATACATATTATGTAAATATAGTTTATGAAAGTGGAAAATAGTATTCACTTTTATTAATCACTTTTCGCGTTACTAATTGTAAGAACTGTCAAGATGTAATTAAGAGTAAGATGTTTTAATAAAGTACGGTGTGATACAAATCAAGGACAATAACGTAATTCTTCTCGCTTGGTCGAATTATGCTGAGTAAATGGGACTTTTACCATCGCTCAAGAGATATTTCTATGACATATACTATATATAGTAATTATTCGAAAGTCATGTTTATTGAGTTGTGACTCTGTTCCAACAAGAGAGCGATATGTCCTATATTGTTTGATTTTTGAGATATAGATAATTATCCCTTTGTCAGATATCTTCTTCGAGATTACAATCTGTTATATTCATGTCACTGCTCTTAACTTGTGAAAATGCAAACGAATTTTCTGTTCATTCTAAGTGTACGTTTACTTTGACAGTGAAACATTGATAATAACATAATAATCTTTTACTTCGATTTATGACGAATAACACTGACTTTTTGTTAAAATAAACTAAAAATCTTCATTACAAATTTCTATTGCACCCTTTAGAACACACGCCTTGAATTTATTCAATATTCATAAATATCCGACGATATAAATTAGACAAAATTTCTGATAATCAGTGTTCTATTCTCGTGTGAATGCAATACTGTCATAAAATCTGCAGTAATAATTATGTAGACACACTGCTGCTGTGAAATGTATGTCGATCATTTTATAACCGTACTAAATTCACGTGAATAAAATACTGACAATTTGAAATTTTAATTAATTTATGCCAGTGGATATCGTTGATAAACATTGACTAAGATAAAAACTTACTAAGTGATGTGTAACCTGTTTTGAGGCATGAAGTGGGAATTTTTTACATTTTCTTAAGTCATCCATAATTCAAGAACTAAGATCAAACATATCTTCATATAACAATTATTAGTTACATTAGTGAATATATTTATCCTCTAAAGTCTTGGTATGTATTTGTGAAGCACCCTGTATAATCGAAGAACCGTTTTATTGTCACGGTCGCGGTGGATCGAGATTTCTAGTCAACCTTGTAATTCATACTGCCTGAACCTAACCGCTGGCTTTCTCGGGTTGATTGTCAAGAATTCTGAGACAATATGCGGTTCTTGGAACTACTTAATATGGGTGAATATAAAGTATCAATTACAAAGGTATCAATTTCTAGGTTGTAAAACACGGTCATAGGAAAATGTCAATTAATTATTGTTTTCCGTACTTGCTACTTGTTCAGCATACGAGTTAGGTGAATACGTATCAAAGAATTATATAGAGCAACGCGATATGATTTGTAATACAAAGGGAGGAGTGTAATTTTGTATGATAGAATAAGCCACAAATGTGGGGTAAATTTTGTGAATTTGAGATCTTATTTTCGTGAAAATCAAAGATATATACGTGTCAACCACACGTGTACTTGGCAAACTTTCGCCTAAGTAAAGATAATATATTCAGAGAGACAGGGGTTTATTCAACATGTACAAGTAACGAAACACATGTAGAATACAATATTTTTATTTCAAGAATTCGTTTTCAAAGAAATCGAGTTTGTATGCAAATACGAGTATGCTCAACAAGTGTTAAAATTAGATTTTCTCAAAAACAGAGTTTCAAACAAAAGGATTTTATTCTATACTTTTTATTACAGTTTTTATATTAATTATATTACCTATATTCAGTCGAGATATATTTTTTCGTATAAAATCATTCTATTATCAATTGTAGTACCGCTTACAAAATATTTTGTATGTACATTAGTTAGGAATTTACTTTTCAAAGTTATTCATAAGTGCTCACGGATTACACTTGAGTTTTTATATTATGAAAATACATGCTAACGAGATGGAACTATAAAATCTACTACTACTAATTGATTACTACTTCCTCTTTGTAAATAAATTATACATTAGAATTATAACTTATTATACATTTATAATATACAAAAGTAGCATAAGAACAAGGTATTTCAATGATATGGCTTTTATTGTATTCAATACCATTCTCCACGCTATAAATCTATGAATTCTACATTCAAATCATTACATTGTACCATTTCAAAGTTGTTGACCAACTAGTATCCAGTCTGATGTTTCTATGATTGCAAAAGCAGTAAAAACTTTACTGCTCCTCCAGTAATTACATTCGAATTATCATTAAAGCATATTAGCAACATGTACATAATAATTTCCTTACATGAAATGTTCCAACGATTCCGCTAAAGGGGACGTTCAATCTCCCCCTCTCATATAAATACATCTATGATCCTCTGTTAAGCAGCACACATACCCTAAGTATCATCGCGGAAGCCCCTACAAGATCCCGTCTCTCGATTACATAATGCGCCTATTTCAATTACCCCCCACCTATCACAAATCAGCACAAATTAATTAACAATAAAATCATAAAAGTTCCAATACCACAATATATTTCACAATCAAAATACTCCAGCTTTCAAACCAAAATCTAATAGTAAAATCGCAACATGACCAAGGAAAAAATAATCAGAAGAAGAACACGCTGACGAGAAAAGTAAGAAGATAAAAGTGTAAAAATCCTCGTATCACGAAGTACTTCTAATCATTCAGCAATAAGAAAATAAATCATCATTACTCAAATCTGACTTGACCATACAAAAATCTATACTTTATATATATTCAGTAGCCAAAATACCAGCACCATCATGCATAAAACTACTGTAACGTATCAACCACTGTAAACTATTATATCCCATTCTGCCCAGACTACAATACCCTCTCAACTGAAACTGTAGCACCAAGCCCACAAAACAACCAAGAAGAAGATCAGAAGAACACGATAACGAAGAAAATAAAAAGATAAAACTATAAAAATTTCCATACCACAGAATACTCTACAATCATTCCAACAAAATCACCTCCACATTAACATGTACCCTTCCTAAACCAAATAGTACCATCAAAACCAACAAGAAGAGAAAGAAGAAGAACAAGAAGCATCGGAAGACGAACACGCTGTCGAAGAAAACAAGAAGACAAATAAAATAAAACCTCGCTAACAAAGAAAAGAAGCAGATAAACTCGTAAAGATTGCCGTACAACAGAATACTCCGCAATCATCGAACATCAAATGACATCGACGTACATCTTCTCCAAACCAAACTATAACATGAAGACCAAGAAGAAGAAGAATCAGAAGAAGAACACGATGACGAAGAAAGTAAGAAGAAGAAGAAGAAGAAGAAGAAGAAGAAGAGAATGATGAAGAAGAGGTACACCTTGCCCGAGGCGCTGCAGGCAGATGCCGGTACGTTGGTACGTGTACTTACATATACACACGTAAGAGCCGTTTCGGTTAGCCCGGGGGCGGAGGCGCGGAATCATGCAGCGTGGAAGAAGAAGGCTCCCCCCGTCCTCTCGCCCGCCGCCCAGAGCCCGTCGTTGTGTG